GCCTAGGACGCGCCCCCCCTCCCCTCCGGAGGAGGAAGCCCGTGGATCTCGGCGGCTGGCTCTTCTGCACAGGCAGGCGTAGGGTGGGCTTTCTCGAAGTGGGGTGCCCGGGGAGTCCTTGGCACTCAGACCCGCCCGCCCCGTTTTTCTCGGGGCAGTGGGCCTGGCTCCTCCCCCCCCCGTCACCCTCACAACAGCCCTGTGAGGTAGGCGAGGCTGCAGCCGTGGCTGGCCCAAGGTCATCGAGCTACCTTGGCGGCCGACGGGGGATGGCTGGCTTTTTGTTTCCTTGCCGAGGTTGGCAAAGCCCCGGGGTGTTTTGAGAGGGTGGGTTAGAGACCGTTTGGCTGGGGAGGGGAGGGGGGCGTAGCCCTGATGCAAGGAAATGCAAAAGTGCTTCAAGACAGAAGAAGAAAAATGTGCCTTAAAGATGAGCAGATGGGGTTTAGAGGTCCCTTCAGCAGCCTCATGAGGCATATGTTTATTTCGAAGTATTTCTTCACTGTGCCCAAAGTGGCGAACATTTCAACATTTCCACATTAAAACAGCATTTAAACGAGATATGAAATAATTCAGTAAAGACACAAACGCACATAACACCAAAAATCAGGGAGGAGGGCCAATAACAGTTATTGGTGGTGTGCCAGACAAAGCAACAAAGTCTTCACCTGCTGGTGGAAGACATAAAAACATAAGAGAAGCCAATGTTGGATCAGGCAAAAGGCCCATCCAGTCCAACACTCTGTGTCACACGGTGGCCAGAAATACCAGGGGCCATCAGGAGGTCCACTCCAGAGTTTTGGCACCACAAAATGAGAAGGCCCCGTGGAGCCTCGCATGATGGGGGCAACGGAAGCAGGGCATCTGAACATAATGCAAGTTGGATGGGTAGGTTTATAGTGGAGGTGGGGGCCCTACAGGTGTGCAAGAGAGCCAGTTTGGTGTAGTAGTTAGGAGCGTGGACTCTTAATCTGGGAGAACCAGGTTCGATTCCCCACTCCTCCTCCACTTGCAGCCGGCTGGTGTGACCTTGGGTCATTCACAAGTTCTTTCAGAGCTGTTCTCTCAGGAGCAGTCCTCGAGAGAGCTCTCTCAGCCCCACCTACCCCATAGGGTGTCTGTTGTGGGGAGGGAAAGGAGATTGTAAGCCTCTCTGAGACTCCCTTGGGTAGTGAAGGGCCATGGGGTATAGATCCAATCTCTTCTTCTTCTTCCTCTCCCATTCTACAATCACTGCATTGGCTGTTGCATACAAAGCGCTTCACGGCCTGTGTTATCTGTACCTGCAGACCAGCTGTGTCCCTGGGCACCACCGTGACAGCTTCGCTCATCTGTTCAGGGCCTTCTGTAGGTGCCACCCTCCAAATGGGCAAAATCAAGACCTGCCCAGATCGAGAGCCTTCTCCTTCGCGGCCCCAACCTTGTGGAGAGGCCTGCCTGAGGAGGACAGGAGGGCTCCCACCCCCTGGTTTTTCGCAAACTATGGAAAACTGAACTGCTCAGAGGGGCTTTGCTTTACACAGATCATCAGGGCTGTACTAGAACAAAACATTTCAGAAAGACAAGTTGATAAAGGTACAGGGATTTCTGGTCTATGCTGCTGTGGATAGTGGAGCTGCGGTGGCTCAAGTGGTTAAGATGTTGAACTGCGGGCTGTGGAAGGTCGGTAGTTCAGCAGTTCGAGACCCGAGTGTGCCGCATGACGGAGTGAGTTCCCGTCTCTAGTCCCAGCTCCTGCCAACCTAGCAGTTCGAAAGCATGAAATTGCAAGTAGATAAATAGGTACCACTCCAGTGGGAAGGTCACAGCGTTCCGTGCGCCTTGGTGTCTAGTCATGCTGGCCACATGACCACGGAAACGTCTTCGGGCAGCGCTGGCTCTTCGGCTTTGAAACGGAGATGAGCACCGCAACCCTAGAGTCGGACTCGACTGGCTTTCAAGCAAGGGAACCTTTACCTTTTACTGTGGATAGTACATACTGAGAGCCTGTTTGGTGTAATGGTTTACGGCAGCAGACTCTAAACTGGAGAACCGGGTTTGATTACCCACTCCTCTACATGCAGCCAGCTGAGTGACCTTGGGCCAGTCACAAGTTCTCTCAGAGTTGTTCTCTCAGCAGCAGTTTCTGTCAAGAGCTCTCTCAGCCCCACCTACATCACAGGGTGTCTGTTGTGGGGAGAGGAAGGGAAGGAGACAGTAAGTCGCTCTGAGACTCTGAGTGAAGGGTGGGGTATAAATCCAATCTCTTCTTCTTCTTCCATCTTTACATGCTGTCTACTGTGGATAATACATACTGTCTGTACATATGACCTAGTATATAATTTCTGCATTATTTAATGTGTCATGTTAATTGTTTGAGCTCAGATTTTTTAAAGACTTTTGCAATCCAAGTGCAAAAGTACTGCTTTGTTTTTTCGTTGTCCCGTCCTCTTGGTCGTGTTTGCATCACTCCATGTAATCCACCTGGCATTTTAGTGAGAAAGGTGGTCTGTAAATAATGTTAAATAAATTAACATAATCTAAAATGCTGTGCCGATCCCCTGTGTCGAACTGTACATACTGTCAACGTGCCCAGAGAGAAGAAGAGGAGGAGATTGGATTTATACCCCGCCCTTCACTACCCAAAGGAGTCTCAGAGCGGCTCACAAACTCCTTTCCCTTCTCCTCCCCACAACAGACACCCTGTGAGGCAGGTGGGGCTGAGAGAGCTCTGACAGAAACTGCTCTTTCTCAAGGACAGCTCTTGTCAGAACTATGGCTTGCCCAAGGTCATCCAGCCAGCTGCGAGTGGAGGAGTGGGGAATCAAACCTGGTTCTCCCAGATTAGAGTCCGCGCACTTAAACCACCACACCAGACTGGCTCCTCACCAAACTGGTGGGCAAAGCATGATGGGATGGCTGTATGGAGCAGAGCCTGCCTAGGTCTGTGGCACTGCATGTGAGAAAGGACAGGAATGAAGAGAAGAAGAAGAAGAGGAGGAGATTGGATTCATACCCCGCCCTTCACTTGGAGTCTCAGAGCGGCTCACAAACGTCTTTCCCTTCCCCTCCCCACAACAGACACCCTGTGAGGTGGGCGGGGCTGAGAGAGCTCTGACAGCAGCTGCTCTTTTTCAAGGACAGCTGTGCCAGAACTATGACTTGCCCAAGGTCATCCAGCAGCTGCAAGTGGAGGAGTGGGGATTCAAACCCGGTTCTCCCAGATTAGAGTCCGCGCACTTAACCACTACACCAAACTGAAGGATGCGTGGGGAGTTTGTTATAAGTCCCGGCGACTTCTGTATCCTTGTCTTTTGCTCCTTGCCCAGCCTTTATCACAGGAATCGCTGCCGTGTGTGACTTCAGCAGCCGCTGCCCTCCGATGCGTGCCCTCGGAAGGAGGGGTAGCCTGGCGGCCATGAGTCGAATGTGGGCGTTGTGGTTAATGCCAGCCTGGGAGCTTTCCTCTGGAACGGGGACGGTCGTGCTGCAGGCGGCCTCTAAGCAGAATCTTCTGCAGCTACGGAGAAGGGGCGCCCTGCAGGTAATGCGTTCTTCAGCGGGTTCTCCGTGGCACCCTGAGACTCCTTTTACAATGAAGGCCCCCCTTCAGACCCCCCCCCAAATTCCGTACCTGCCTTCCGGGATGGATATGACTGGGTTTGGCTGCTCTGCCGAGCCCGCCCACCCTGTCGCTTCTCCGTCTTTCCCGCCAGCGTGTCCTTTTGTCTGTATTTTTCTCCAGGACCCCAGGTTGGTTCCCGTGCGGAACTTCCGGGTGAGCCCAGTGTTTAGCACTTCCAAAATCGCCCGTCCTGTCAAGGGAGACAAAAAAGACCGTGACAACAAAGACACCGACCGGTCCCTGGTGACCGTGGACAACCTCTTCGAGAGAGGGGCCAAGACCAAGGCCACGTTTCAGGAAGCCCTGGACGTCTTCTGCAAGCAGGACATCCGCCGCCGGGGCCACGTGGAGTTCATCTACGCGGCCCTGAGGAAGATGAAGGAGTTTGGCGTGGAGAGGGACATCGCCATCTACAACAAGATCCTGGACGTCTTTCCCAAGGAAGTGTTCGTCCCGCAGAATTTCATTCAGAGGATGTACAACCACTACCCCCGTCAGCAGGAGTGCGGCGTCCAGGTGCTTGAGCAGATGGAGACAAACGGTAGGTGTTGGGGGGGGGGGGGAGCGACAGAGAGCGTGCTTTCTCGGAAGTGTGATGGAGCTGGGCTTTTAACGGATGTGAGAGAGATTCCTGGGCGTTGGGAACTCTGCAGCAGGTTGGGTGCAAGCAATGCAAAACAGGGAGAGGGCGTGGCCCAGTGGCAGGGCCTCTGCTTGGCACGCACGCAAAACAGGGAGAGGGCGTGGCCCAGTGGTAGGGCCTCTTCTTGGCATGCACAAGGTCCCGGGTTCCATCCCCAGCATCTCCATGTAAAGGACCAGGCAGGAGGTGATGGGAAAGACCTCCGCCTGAGACCCTGGAGAGCTGTAAAGAGGGGGTTGTGGCTCAGTGGCAGAGCCTCTGCTTGGCACGCAGAAGGTCCCCGGTTCAATCCTTGGCAGCATCTCCAGTTAAAAAGGACCAGGCAGGAGGTGATGGGAAAGACCTCTGTCCGAGATCCTGGAGAGCTGTAAAGAGGGGCCGTGGCTCGGTGGCAGAGCCTCTGCTTGGCACGCAGAAGGTCCCCGGTTCAATCCTTGGCAGCATCTCCAGTTAAAAAGGACCAGGCAGGAGGTGATGGGAAAGACCTCTGTCCGAGATCCTGGAGAGCTGTAAAGAGGGGCCGTGGCTCAGTGGCAGAGCCTCTGCTTGGTGGGCAGAAGGTCCCAGGTTCAGTCCCCAGCAGCATCTCCAGTTAAAAAGGACCAGGCAGGAGGTGATGGGAAAGACCTTCCTCTGCCTGAGACCCTGGAGAGCTGTAAAGAGGGCCTGTGGCTCGGATGGGAAAGACCTTCGCCTGAGACCCCGGAGAGCTGCTGCCAGTCTAAGTAGACAAGACTGACCTTGGTGGGCCAAGAGTCCGATTTCATATAAGGCAGATTAATGTGTTCAGAACATGTAAGGAACTGTGTTTTTTTACTGCACTAACTCCTGTTCATGTAGAGAGGTAGTGAGTTACACGGGATTCTGTTTTATTGAAGAATTTTGTGTAACGCATTACACAACACAGTATTTTTAAATTGGATCAGTAAAAGGTCTCTCCTTATCTAGGTTTGTTTTGTTATGTTTGTTCTTTGCAACCAACTTCTCAACATTTGGCAGTGGCTGACTCGTCAGAGAGGCATCGCTGCTTGTCTGCTCCAAAGCAGGAAAACCAGGCATGAGGCGGATTGTGGTGCCTTCGCTTATTGGGGAGACGGTTTTACCTTTAATCCACCCTCTGTGTACATAAACTTGGTAGATTTGTGCTACTTGTTGTTCAGTTGCACAGTCTGACTCTTCGCGACCCCATGGACCAGATCACGCCAGGCCTTCCTGTCTTCTGCCGTCCTCCGAAGTTGGCTCAATTTCCTGTTCGTTGCATCTATGACACTAACCATCTCATCCTTTGCCATCCCCGTCTGCTTTGACCTTCAATCTTTCCCAGCATCAGGGTCTTCTCCAGTGGGTGCTTCCTTCTCATTGGGTGGCCAAAGTATTTGAGCTTCAGTTTCATTATCTGGCCTTCCAGGGAACAGTCAGGGTTGATTTCTTTTAGGATTGACTGATTTGATCTTCTGCTACTACCAGGAATTAAAAATTCCAAATCTCTCTCTTTTGGTGGAATGACCCAGGGTCTGGGCACTTCAGAGGACTATGTGGCCCTGAGGAAGGACTATTCTGATTTCTGGGATAAGTCTAAACAAAAAATGATTTATTTAATAAAGAACAAAATAGGTTTCTGGTTATTTTTACTGTTGCTGATGAAAGGACCTTATAAATATAACTGGCAATGCTTGGTGTCACAAACAGTCTCTCAAACTCCCAAAACTCCACTCTGACAGGCGTAGACACTCAGTCTAATCTCCCTCTCTCTCTGATCTATATATAGCCACACAGGCTGAACTC